CGTAGTTGGCGAAGCTGCTTAGCAGACTACATACAAGTGTTTGATGTTTTTGAAGCGGCGGCAAGCTGCGTTTAGTTTAGGCTAGGTTTGTGGTGTAAAACGGAATAAATACTGTGTTCTGTATTTTTGAATTGAAATTACCCAAGTTTGGTCGATAAGATCTTTTTATTTTCACGCTTAGAGGAATTTAATTTGTTCTCTCACCATGTCGAAACGAAAATTCGACGAAATTGAGGAGATGAGTACCGCGGAACTTCTTGAGAGAGACTTGCAGAAGGACGGCCCAAGCAAGGCAGAATCTACGATAAAGAAAAATTCGTTGGATTCTGACGAAGAGGATGATGGCGATGGAAAAAATTATGACATTCTCTCTGATGATGACATTGAAGGTAAATTTTCTCCGAATTCTTAACATTATATTTTACAACGATCAGGGTGCGTAAAGTTAGGTTAACATTTGAAGGGTCCGTCATTTTGCTATGTCCAACTTATTTTTCAAGTCTTTTTACCTGGAGCATTACAGAGAGTGTCAAAGATTTATTATGGATTATGCTTTTACAACCGACAAAACCTGGACTGTGATTAATTAGTTAACAAACTTTGTTGTTCCTCTATTGTTATGACACCCGTTAACAAGGTGGATATATCCACCTTGCCCTTTAACATGTTGGTATAGTCCGTTAAATTATTTTGTTTGTCCCATAGGTCAAGAGGATGGTCATGCTGTTCAGGAAGGTGGTGTTCACATCACACCGTTCAACATGCACGAAGAATTGGAAGAGGGCCATTTTGACACTGAGGGCAACTACCACTGGAAAAAGGATAAGGAAGTCCGTGATAACTGGCTAGAAAATATTGAATGGGTCAATGTACGTGTCCATGTTAATGAAAGAGTTTTATCAAATTTCTTAAGTGGAGGGGGTTAAAAAAGAAATTTTCTTCAACTTTTGTATTTTTCAGATTAAAAATGCTAAAACAGGTGTGGAGGGTGAGGAAACTAGTGCAGCAGATTTGAAAGAAGAAGAATCACGTCCAGAGTCACCATTTGATAATGTTGCTAGCTATAAAAAAATGCTTGCGTTCATGAAACCTAAAGAAACTGTGAAACAATCTTTGCAGAGACTTGGTAGGTATCTGAGTGCTGTAAAGGAAATAGATACTCCTTCCAGTACTATGGCAAGTAATTGTTGAATTGTTATTCTAGGTGGGTCTGGCAGCCTATCTGCATCAGAAAGATTACGGCGTAAGAAAGCAGGATTGGATCTTGGGAACCCTGGTGACAAACAAGCTGTCACTGACCTAACAGAACTTGCAAACAACATTTTAAATAGAACTGGAAATATGGATATATATCAAGAAACCTTTGAGTACATATCGCAGCAAGTGAGTACTCAAAACATTGTTCTAATCTAATCTATTACATAAGATGTTTGTACTTGTTAATCATTTCTAATTCTATAAAACATATTTTCTCTTTCTAGATTTCAGCTTCTGAGAACAAGACGAACACTGAATTACCCAAGCAGGCTGTTGATGCCGAGCTTGATATGTATGCTGACGACTTTGATGTGAAAGCCAAAGAACAAAAAGTCCGCAAGGAAGAGGAGGCTGCTGCAGCAGAAGCACAAACAAAGTCAAACAAGGAAGAGGGTGGATATAGCAAAGGTGTGTAAATGTTTCTAGATGGTATGAACTATGCAGGTAATTCTTATCAAAACTTTTAAAAATTATTATCTGGATTTGGTATTATCTTTTCAGAGCCAGAAGTTACATGGGAGTTCAAATGGAAGAAAGATGACAGTGAATTTCATGGACCACATGACAGTGAACAAATGCAGAAGTGGTTAGATGAAGGCCATCTCAAAGGTGATGAATGGGTAAGGAAAGTAAGAAGTGATGGTGAAAGTGAATTCTACTCAATCAAAAGGGTTGATTTTGAAATCTACATGTGAACCAATCCATTATGAAATGTGTCCTGCATATTTTAATTTATATCTCTACATACTTTACAATTGTGTAGAAACTTTACATTCGTCTTGTAAATTTTTGGAGTAGTCTTTACTTGTTTGTGTTAAAAAGTAGTACTACTGTATTTTAAAAATTTGTACATAGTTATTTGGTGATGTTATTGAACATGTTCAACTGCTGTTAGTGAATATTAGTATTTACTCAACCTTACAATAATTTCTTTATGTGATTTTTTACAATTGCAGACATAAATGTAACATACGTAGCCACATTTCCTTTGCCATATTTCTGCAGAAAGTATACCCCTATGTGATGTTTTACCGTTGACTATATTATGAACTCTTTGTCTCAATTTTTTGTCTGTAAATACCGGGTGTAACTGTGAGTACGCAGCAGTGTGGCGGGTTTCCCTACTCTTTACACCCGTAAGGAGCCGTGGCCCCTGCGGCCATATTGAGTATGCAATCTCGCAACACTGCTGCGTATTCTCAGTTACACCCGTTACAATACACAATAGTAAGTTGGGGTGGGTTAACACACAAATTTTCATTCCTTATGTGAACCTCCGTTTTCTAGGATTAAAAGACAAATCAATCGGTTTTTATGTTTTGTTTTATTGGATTGGAATTGCCTAAGTCTTGACAATTTGCTAAATGCACACTCTTACGGAGCCGCAAGGCGCCATGGTAAGCGATGTTAGGCTTGCCCGCTCGCCCGCCTGAATCCGGTTGAGTATTACGAGAAAAAGAGGACAGCGCCGAGCACCCACCCTGCCCTCCCTGCATGTCTGTACCCCAGCTGTCCAATGAGAAAGACTTCATTCAATCTTGCATTTTTGCAAGAACAGCGGTCTGGACAGCGCCTAGACGCTTTCCCGGACCTCAACTTTGTCTCGTACGACTGAAGACATTCCATCTCCCATGTCGAGACGACTGAAAGACCATAGGACTCAGAGGGATAGGGGGAGGGGGGGATCTCACCCCCTTCTCCACCGGTTACCTCCCTCGCGCTCTTGCACCCCCCGCGCGCGTCCACGGAACGCATTCGGCGCGCAGTCCCTTTCCGAGCGTAGCTCTGGCTCAAGCTCTAACAGGGGCGCCAAGCGGTGGGTTTCAATTTGGCGAAAGTTGCGGGACAAGTTTCTGAGCGCCCCTGCCCGCCCCCGCCCAGCGCCACCCCCGCCCTTGCTCTGCCCGGCCCACGGGCCGCCCCCGGCCCTCGCCACCACCCCCGCCCTGCCCTTCCACACCGGACTAACAGGGGCGGGCGCGGCGCGTCTCGGGGGTGGCTTTCGAAAGTGGAGGTCATCCCTGCCTGGCGGGCCGCGGCGGGCGCGGGGCTGGAGCGAGAGGGGCAGGGCGCGGTCTCGAACGCGTCCCTCCCGGGTCCCGCCCCGCCAGCCGAGCAGAGCGGAGCAGAGCCCCGGGGACGTAGTCGGGGAGGAGGCCGCGTTCAATATTACGGTAACGAGCCTTTCAGGGCCACTAATTGCCTGAATTCAGCGAACAATGGCGCGCGCTGGCGGGGGCGCGGGGCTCCGCTGCGGGGCGGGGCCGGCGGGGCCGGCGGGGCGGGGCGGTACCAGGACACGCGGACCGCGCGGAGTTAGAAGGGAGGCGGGCGAGCGTGCCGGTGCCGCAATGCAACCCCTTTACCATCAAGTAACTGGGCAACAACCGTGCGCGAATGAAATCCGCGCGAAAGCCAATCAAACTTGTGTCATTGTCCCTGCCCTTCTGCCCAAGGGTTAAAAAAAGGAGGTCATTAATAATATGCGTTTGACTAAGATATCTGACTCAAAGTCGCGTCGATACGATATGACGTCTGTGATCTCACAGAGACTTTCTGTTGTCCGTAGAAATGCGTTTCCATCTCCAGGCGCCTCGTCTATACCGTCTGGCCCGACTGGCCGGCTTTCGGCTTTGCTTTACCGACATAACCCGGATTGGGAGGTGGAGGCTAGCTCGTCGGATGTACGTCCAGTATTTTTTGGCCACTGCAGGTAGTGTCCCACCAGGTGGGTGAAATCCTCCGTCCCCGACGTTCACGGTGCCACTGGTGCTACTGTACTACGCCTTGGTCCTAGTGAGTAGGCAGCCGGTACACACGCCTGCGTGCGGTACAGCAGCTTCCAAAACAGACGCACGTCCCTTGTAGCTTCACAGTCGTAGCTACAATCGACACGGCTACATGCAGATTCATCCGAACTTGTTCTGCTGCTGTTGGATCGTCCTCGCGAGTCCATCACATCATCAGAGGGAGGGCAGGGGCAGCGCGGACAGCCCAGGCCGGATTTCCAAGGGAGCCTCACGTACCCTTACCCTAACTCCTCGCCAACGCCAACCCCTCTGAAGTCCCGCCCTGCCCCGCGCCTTGCCCGCTACCCGGCGGCGACTTAAGGCGTCTCCTGTGTCCTAGAGGATCGTCGAGTGTCCTCCTGCCGGCCCGGCCTCAAGTTCTCGACATCACGGCAACTCGTTCTCGCTCCTGAGCGAGCCCCTGAGCCCCCTCCTAACCCTTGCGCACGGCGAAGCGCGGTGTACTCGTGTAACCCCCTCGCACCTGCGTGCCGTGCCGCTCTCTCCTTCCGCCACTTCGTCCACCTCCTCCTTTCTCTCCCTCCCCCTCCTTTCCGTCTCTTGTCCCCCCTCCCCTCCACGAACCCCCGTTCGTCTTTCCCCCTCTCGTCCTCGGCCGGGGCCAGACCATTGATTACCCTGTGTTTGCCAATTTAAGAGGTCCTAAGTGATGGTCAACAGGAGCTGGCCGAGAAGGGGGGGGGGGCCTCGCCGGAGGAGGCTGAAAAAGGGGTGGTGCGAAGAAAAGAGGCTGAGTGTTGTCTTAGCTGCGTGGGAAATTTCACTTATTTGTTCACCTTGTACCGTGCGAAAGGGGGATTTCTTTGGGCTTGGGTCTTGAGTGGTGCTGATTGACAATTTTGGTGAGTGTGAGTGTGTGTGGTGGTGGTGGTGGAAAGAGGGGGTGGGGGGCATTCACTCTCTGTAGTGGTCGCCCCCTGTTTGAACGGGCAAATTCTCATATTGGGAAGGGACAAGAGCAGCAGCAAGCGTAGTAGTAGGCGATTTTCCAGATAAGAGTGTGGTATGGCTTTATCGGACTGTGTCCGCCAGGGATAAAGGGGAGGGGGCTATGGTGAACAAGGGGTGGGTGGGGGTGAGTTGCTTGGCAACGCTTGTTTACAAACAATCCAACGGGGCTGCGTGTGGGAGCGGTGGGAGCGCCTCACCTCCCCCGACTGCCCCCGCCATATCTCTCCTCTCTCTCTCTCCCTCTCCCTTCCCCTCTCTCGCTCCTTGGCCGTGCCTTGTGCTGTGCGGGGTTCCGTTCCGGCCCAGGTGGAGGTGGAGGGACAAGGACGGATAGAGCATCCTCACTCCGCGCCGCGAGGCCGCTTTACATATTCATGCCGGTCGGTTTCGGTTTTAAAAACGTGAAACGTGGCAGCCGGTGGGTTGCACTGCGGTCGGTCCGGTCGGGGAACACACACACACGCGCGCACCTTGCACAAACTCGCGCGCACACACCCGCCTATCGCCCTGCCCCAGTCCAGCGGCGGCTTCACCTGTTTAATTAGCACGTAACGAGACACCCGGGTATCCCGGCAGCATCACCGCCACCGCCACCCCTTTGCGTTTGCTGACTCCCACTACAGTAGGCGTATGGCGCCGCGCGTAGCGCCGCGTAGAGCGCGCCCCCCGGCTGCTCCCGGACCCTAGGCCATCTCATTTTGGTAGTCGAAGTCGGCGATTTCGGAGGTACGCACATTTAATGATAGATTAGACCTAGTAGAGACCCTGTGCAAAGTTTGAGCCCTGTGCGATAACGTGTACCCGACCCGCATCGCGATTTTCCGAGCGGGCTCGAAATTGGCGCGCGGTGACCCGACACCTTGTCGGCTCTGCCGTGCTGACACGGTGGGGTCAAAGGTGACGGCTCGGGTCTGAAGTATGACCCTATGGGTCCTACTTCACATCCGACATGGCGATTCCGAGCTCGCGACAGACCGGGCGTCTCCAGGAGCCCAAACGTCGCGGGCCGCGCGGGTCGCTCCTGGCAGCCGAAATTAGCAGAATCAAACATAATGTTTTTGCCAATACGTAGGCCGTACCGTGCCCTATCCAAAACTATGTAGCGTGCCAGGTAGCGGTGACGCGATCACTGGAAAAATTAAATAATGTCAAAAACGCCTGCGTACTAGGCTACCATGCGCTACAGGCGTGTAGTG